ATACACATACAATGTGTATGACACACACACACACACACACACACACACACACACACACACACACACACACACACACACACACACACACACACACACACACACACACACACACACACACACACACACACACACCTGGGATGCCAGGTATTCCATCCTCGCCAGCAGGACCGGCGGATCCCGATTCGCCATCACGGCCTCGCAGGCCTGGGAAGCCCGGAAGTCCGTCCAGTCCGCGCATGCCTGACAGCCCCGGAGCGCCATCCAAACCATAGTCACCCGGAGCGCCCTTCTCACCGGGGAAGCCTGGAGCAAACGCACGAGATGGACGCATCAGTATGTTCACCAAGAGTTAGCATGCCTTTACGAACAGCCTCTCAATTTATTCTTGAGCAATGCTTGTTGGTAGCTATTATATAGTAACAGCATTCCGGGTCGGTGGCAGTGCAGCCACTACCTCTACTGCTACAATATCTCAATAGGCAAACCGCGAATTTAAAGACGCGATGCGGGCAGTGATAGAACGCGTACAAATAATCAAGCATTATGTATCATTATTATCACATGTATTGATCATGTTAATTAATTAATTAATTAATTAATAATCATTAGTTAATTACCTGGCAGGCCAATGCGACCGGGTTCTCCAGCCCCACCTTTGAGGTTTGCTCCAGCATCACCGGGCTCTCCCGGTAGTCCGTCCAATCCGGGTAAGCCAGGGAAACCTTCGTCTCCTGCAACATGTCGATTTGACAATGAGCTCTTATTGTCCAAAGGAAGTTAGTTCCAGATGCCCAGGAGAGCAGCCGTGTGTACTCTTCGTAACATCCTACGCCTCGCTGTGAGGATCACCATGGTTAGTTATGACATCATAAGTCATTTCCGACAACGGACCTCCGGCTAACACTAGTTATTCTCACTTTGATCCCCCACGTCCTGTTCCAAATTTCATTTTCTTCAGCGAATTTTGCCTAAAGTAATTCAGAAATGTTAAAGTTTTACTTTATTTGCATTAAGCGTTTCGTCCGCGCAACGGGAATATTCCAGAAATGATAGTACGTCACTGACCTCGCAGTCCGGTAGGGCCGCCAAGTCCATCCGGTCCCGGGAAGCCTGGAAGACCATCAGGACCTGCGTCACCGGGCCATCCGTTGGGTCCGAGCTCACCGGTCTGTCCCTTACTCGATCCTATCACTCTACCCGGTGCGCCGGTCTCTCCCTGAACACGCAATCGAACGCAATTCGGATAATTTCGAGATGCTATGTTCAGGTAACTTCGCGCGAGTTGTGTTCGTATCGCAGGACGAGCTTCGACCTTCTTCTTCTCGGGTCACTACACTACACTCGAACTAGCCACTGTAGCACACATGACCTGTTAACAAGCCTGGGACGCGATTGACAATATGTCATTGTGGCGCGTGTGCAGGGCAGGCGTTCGCCGTCTACGTTTCTCACAGATTCACTCGCTCACGAGCGTGAGATAAGCTTATTACTCGATGCCAGTGAGCACTGAAGTTGGCGATGGACTATTCATGGTGACCTGCATTGATCTGGGCTTAGTCAGGCGAGTGAAGCTGATATTATATTTCACTATTGCGCCCTGAAAACACGTTACGTATTGTTAACGTTAAAGATCGTAACCATGTGAATACCTTTGCTCCAGACAGACCAGGCAGGCCATCACGACCGTGGAAACCTTTAGGTCCGGGGAGACCATCGAGTCCAGGGAATCCATCTCTGTCAGACGGGTAACCCTTGAAACCAATGTCACCTTCTACACCAGTGTCTCCCTTCCATCCCTTTCTGTAACCAGGTCGACCTAGATAGCGCAGCAAAGGCGCACCCGTCACATAAACCGCGATTTCTTCTCCGACTAGACGTATGATTACTTTCGGCTATTTCGATAACACAAGAATTTGACACGAGGAAGCCATAATTCCAATGATAGGAATCTCCCCACATTTTACGTTATCGATGATTATTGATATTTAGTCTTTTCGATGCGTACCTATCCACCGCATGTATTTTCGGAAGATATTATCATTTTAAACACTTATCGTAAATAGGTTTTTTTTTTACATGTTACTCAATTATCGAGAAACAGGTAATGCCGGTTTACCTTGATCACCCGTCGTTCCCTTCAGCTGTCCGGGCGTGGAAGGACCTGAAGTAGCAAGAAAACCCTCATTTGTGACTGCTTTCCATCTTGGTTTTCAGCAACATATCGCAATAGCAACATATGAAGTAATAACAAGGGATAAAAACGACACACATATATATATATATATATATATATATATATATATATATATATATATTTATTGATAATACAAGTATGTGCGCGTGCGTGCGTGCGCGCGCGCGCGTGTCTATATCATTTGTACTAGAGACTCGATCCACGTGGCACAGTATACTCACCTGGAGGACCGGGTGGTCCAAGAGGACCCTTATCTCCCTTCCGTCCCTCAAATCCGTTTAGACCTGAGTAGCCAACTGGGCCTTCGAGACCAGGCAGACCGTGCAAGCCATCCACACCTCTCATTCCCTACAAGCGCAGCACAATTTTACGAGCTGTCGGGTTCATCTCAAGTGAAAGGTCTGTACGGTAATACAGTTCCGCGATGCTGCACTAATTGTCTAAACGAACATTGCCCTTCGTTGCTACCTCCAACGTGTTTTATTCCAACTCCAATTCAAACTGATAAAAAAATTCCGGTGCTTTCTATTTTCCCGTTATTTTAACGCTTGAAGTCGCAATTCCCCTATTTTTTTCGATGCATTTTTTTGATTATCTACGTGAGGATGTCTGTTACCATTCTTACCTTCAAACCTGGGAAGCCTGGAAGACCATCTCTGGCCGGATAGCCCTTTGGTCCGGAAACACCAGGAAGTCCGGGCAAACCTGGAAAGCCGGAGTCACCTTGCTCGCCCTCAACTTTTGGTGGAAGGAATAGCTCCCCTGCTTCTCCCTTCTCTCCACCGTAGCCATTCTGTCCGGGCAGTCCATCCATTCCCTACGTATGGACATATATATGTATATGTATATGTATATGTATATGTATATGTATGGGGGGGGTGGTGTGTGTGTGTATGCGCGTGTCTGTATGAGGTAATTAACGCTCGTTTGTTATCGCTATGTATCCATACTTTAATTGTATACTTTAGTTGCATGCACAGTATAAATTATTCTCAATTTCGCATTTTTGTCTAACGTTGTACAGCCTTACGGTGAGCTCACGTGATTATAAATTCAACCGTCTCCTTTGCGCAGGGGACCATTTTAACAGAATAATTTAGACGGCGTTCCTTGTGTTGCTCTTGCGGGACCAGGAGAAGGCTATGGTAGATTCCTTAAGGTCCCTGTGGCTCTGTTCTTTCACATACATGAAGCATTTTTCTAAGTTTCATTTAAATTGGAAATTATACCGAAGTCGCATATATAAACTCTAATTATGTGTGCGCGCGTGCGTGTGCGTGTGCGTGATTGTCGTTCTCGCCCTCTTATCTCACTCTGTGAATGCGTGTGCATGTGTGCGTACGTCTGTGTGTGCATGCGTACGTTAGTGTATGCGCGCTTGTGTACGTACGTCTGTGTGTGCATGCGTACGTTGGTGTATGCGCGCTTGTGTACGCGTACGTCTGTGTGTGAATGCGTACGTTGGTGTATGCGCGCTTGTGTACGTATACGTCTGTGTGTGCATGTGTACATATGTCTGTGTGTGCGCGCTTGTGTACGTATACGTCTGTGTGTGCATGCGTACGTATGTCTGTGTGTGCGCGCTTGTGTACGTATACGTCTGTGTGTGCATGCGTACGTATGTCTGTGTGTGCATGTGTACGTTGGTGTGTGCGCGCTTGTGTACTAATACGTCGGTGTGTGCATGTGTACGTATGTCTGTGTGTGCGCGCTTGTGTACGTATACGTCTGTGTGTGCATGCGTACGTTGGTGTGTGCGCACTTGTGTACGTACGTCTGTGTGTGCATGCGTACGTTGGTGTGTGCGCGCTTGTGTACGTATACGTCTGTGTGTGCATGCGTACGTTGGTGTATGCGCGCTTGTGTACGTATACGTCTGTGTGTGCATGCGTACGTTGGTGTATGCGCGCTTGTATACGTATACGTCTGTGTGCGCATGCGTACGTTGGTGTATGCGCGCTTGTGTACGTACGTCTGTGTGTGCATGCGTACGTTGATGTATGCATGTGCATGTGTGCGTACGTCTGTGTGTGCATGCGTACGTTGGTGTATGCGCGCGTGTGTGCGTACGTCTGTGTGTGCATGCGTACGTTGATGTATGCGCGCGTGTGTACGTATACGTCTGTGCGTGCATGCGTACGTTGGTGTGTGCGCGCGTGTGTACGTATACGGCGGTGCGCGCATGCGTACGTTGGTGTGTGCGCGCTTGTGTACATACGTCTGTGTGTGCATGTGTACGTACGTCTGTGTGTGCATGCGTACGTGGGTGTATGCGCGCGTGTGTACGTACGTCTGTGTGTGCATGCGTACGCTGGTGTATGCGCGCTTGTGTACGTACGTCTGTGTGTGCATGCGTACGTTGATATATGTACATGTGTGCGTGTTCGGGTTAGCGAGGAACTGGGACGGTTAACTAGTCATCTACAGCCAAATACTCTCGTTCTTCCTCTCTCCATTATTTTTCTATCCACAATAAATATAAATATAAAATAATATATATATATATATATATATATATATATATATAATATGAATATGAATCCTAACTAGTCGCGAAGACCGACGTTACTGCGTACCGCGTACCGCGTACCGCGTGAAAATTCAGAAAAAGAGATATTCTGGTCCGTCCTCATTGAGATGCTTCCACTCGATGCTCAGCCTGTTCTGCTTGCATCTATGACAAATACGACTTACGCATATACTCTCTCCTATGACACTATTTGTCATAGGAAGATTCTTCCTATGACAAAATTAATATTGTTGTATGTGTTGTGCGCATCATAGGAGTTTAGGAGCGCTATTATGAACGCAAGCAGTAAATTTCAGCTGAAAAACTGTGGGAGTCAACAACGCGTCGAGTGATGTGTCAGCGAGAGAAAGGCAGCCATCATCGATAGGGTGAGGCATAGACAGAGCGTACTGTAAGCACCCCCAGTGGAATCCAACAGCGCGCTTTAATGCAGCAGACGGCAATTCCGAATCTCTAGAGAGCATTGAATTTAGGAACGAAGTAAGAAACACGGAGGTTTGAATGGCGCACAAATGACCGCCTTTTCGCTCGTTTTTCTGATATTGATTCTTGGACGAAAGGCGGCGGTATAGCTCTAACATTTCCCCCAATGGTATAATAATTTATTCACCCCAATAGTATAACATTCCCTCAATAGTATAACATTCCCCCCAATGGTATAATATTTACCCCAATAGTATAACATTCCCCCAATAGTATAACATTCTCCCAATAGTATAACATTTCCCCAATAGTATAACATTCCCCCAATAGTATAACATTCCCCCAATAGTATAACATTTCCTCCAATAGTATAACATTCCTCCAATAGTATAACATTTTCCCCAATAGTATAACATTTCCCCCAATAGTATAACATTCCCCCCAATAGTATAACATTCCCCAATAGTATAACATTCCCCCAATAGTATAACATTCCCCCAATAGTATAACATTTCCCCCAATAGTATAACATTCCTCCAATAGTATAACATTTTCCCCAATAGTATAACATTCCCCCCAATAGTATAACATTCCCCCAATAGTATAACATTCCCCGAATAGTATAACATTTCCCCCAATAGTATAACATTCCCCCCCCAATAGTATAACATTCCCCCAATAGTATAACATTCGGCGGTATAACATTCCCTCAATAGATCAGATGAATCATCCTGAATATCCAGCTTGGAATGTCATTGCGTAGACGAGCCCACATGGCGTGTTAGTTATGCTCACTAATACTTCCTACATTAATAACTTAATGCTTAATACTTTATACCTACTACTATATACTATATACTACATACTGTATACTAATTACCTAATACTTAATACTTTACTCATATCTCCTCCCCAACAGCGTGCCTGGACACACATTAAGGGATAACGTGATCAGCACGTCATCGAATTTCACATCCCGGACGTGAATATACGCGAGAACAACAGCGGCTGAAGTAAAAAACACTCTAGATTTTCATTACATATCGACGTATGACCTATTCGCTACAACGTCTACATAAAACGAGCGTACATACACGTTAGAACGTGCGTTATTGCCCTCGACGCGCTCGTTCTCGTCTCAATCTCTCTCTCTCTCTCTCTCTCTCTCTCTCTCTCTCTCTCTCTCTCTCT